ATGGGCTTTGCTAAGTTGCAAATATGGAATTCATTCATTCATTCATTCATTCATTCATTCATTCATTCATTCATCACATTTATATAGACTATATTCCACAGATATTTGGGAATATGACTTCTGAAAATGCTGCTTAGAAAGCTGCATGGATGTAATTGCCAGGAGTCAAGACAGACTCAAAGAGGCACACAAACACAAAGAGAAAAATAAAATATAATTAAATTCTATAAAAATTAAAAATCATGCAGGCAACCATGGAAAAAAGATCACCTCCCAAGCCAGCCTCCTTGGAAGATTTTAGTGTGGGTGGCGGGAATCCTGCAGAAGAAAGCATTTTTTTCATATATGCCTGGATATAAATGGTATCCCAGCCCAAGCTAATTCTGTGAGCACTGCAGCCTGTCTTACAAATTAGCAGAGGCCAGGCAGCAACCCATATAGACTAAAACTTTCAGCTCATTGGAACTGGTGGCGGTGAGACAGGGGTGTCTGCAGGGTACAGTCAAAAAAGTCAAGAAGTAAGCTGCAATGTGGCTACAGAAAAAGCAAGCAGAGCTTTGACTGCACCACTGGGGCTGACATGCTGACTTTTGTTGACCACACCCTGAGGACACTCTTGTGGTGAGTTATACTGAATACTTTATCTGTTTTCATTCAAAACTGCCATTTCAATCTATACAGCCACTAGTTCGGATGGGTGTGTTCTTTATCCATTGACTGAATGCACACATGTACAAACTTGCCAGTGCAGACAGAACTTTCATGTCATCTTTTGAAGGCTCTTTGGAAAAAGTTGGGCAAATAGTAAAACGTGTTACTGAGAATTTCTACCTCAAATTAAAAGAAGTTGCTAAAAAATCCCAAAGTTCCCCAGGGTAAAAAGACTTCATTTATCTTGCATGCAATCAAGCTCTTTTTTCTATTACTGCTTTTTCATATTTCAAGTTCAGTCCTTTGTGAACAGCAGAATTAACACTGGCATCATTTACTTGCTAAAACTGGAATATAACTGAATACATGCCACCTCAGCTTTCTTTAAGCAATCTATAATTCTGAAATATGTGAATTTCCAAAAAGGCTTTTCAAAGCTGATGAATGTCATGGGGTTTATTTAATGACATATAATTTATCTTGTCAGGCACAGTGATACTTTTCCAGTTTCATTGCTAGAAACAGCTTCAGTATGTAGAAAAGCACAAGCTTCCTTATGTATAATTTAATCAGCTTGTGTTATGTACAGATATCCCACTTAACGCAACTGCACAAAACTGATGCAAGGAGAGAGATATTTTGCAACAATAGTTTGTGTGAGCTGTGTTTTCATTTTTACACTGGATATTTGAAGTGATGAATACAACTTTTAATACATTCAGAAAGATCCAGACCTGATTCAAAGATTTATGGGAATGAATGAAATGAATTAAATTATGGGAACTGCTAAAAGATGTATGTCGGAGGAAAAATTGCCAATAGGAATTAGGAGAAACTCACACTATTTTTGTGCTGTATTAAAATAATTTGCAAACTTCTGACCAATTACTTAATCCAATCTTAAGAGAAAGAACCCTTCCAAACTAAACAATACGGATAAAATTAAAGATGCAGGAGTAAGTCTTCATGCATAATGTAATGCTGTTCTACTGAAGAATTCCTTCTGATGGAAAAAAAAGTTTCTCTTCTCTAATATTTATTTCCATAAATTGTTGATTAATTATCAGCATTCATATATTCATTTATTGGATTTATATATTCTCTCACATGTGGTCTTATTTATATTTGTTGAATTGTTTTTAACAGTTATTTTAAACTTGTATTGTTTGTTTTATTATACACTGCCCAGAGTCACATTTGTGAGATGGGCGGCTATGTAAATTTGATAGATAAATAAATAAACAACTAAATAAAGCCTTTCATTCAGGAGCTTTCTTTTCCTATTTTCTCACATAACAGCATCCCTGTGAGGGTGGTTGACATGAAAAGAAATGGTTGGCCAGTGTGGGTGAGGGTGAACTTGACCATGAGGATCATTGATCCAAGCCTAAAACCTTAACCACAAAAGCACACACATCTCTACAGTGAATACAACACTGATTATATATACAGGTTATCCTGGATTCTCATAAAACTATAAAAGTAAATTATCTCAGTTTGCCATCTATCCATCAAAAATCTTGGCAGACATTCTACCAGTGACTGATGTGCATGTTAAGGAGCTAAGTTAATTAATATGTCTCCCAGTTCCCAAACGGAGCACAGGAAACAAAATTCTGTTTGATGCAGCCAGCAGTGACATACTCAAGTGGTGTGTGGGTGTGTGAGTTTGTATGGTCTAGGCACAATTGATAATTGACAAATACATGTTGAAGTAAAGCAATCAAGCATATAACAAGAACTTATGCTAAATTTTCAGATAAAACCCTATACCTAGAAATCAAGAGGCCTGGGGAAAGAAGTTTTAAAAAAATAATAGTATTTTTTTTTAATTACATATATAAATGAGGGGAAAATAGTCTTCACAGCTTTTAATATGTTAATTTTTCTGCTAGACAGTAATCTGTTTTATTTATTTATCATATTTATATAGCCACCCAACTAACACAAGGTGTGAGTTTGCAGTCTTGAATGTCAAGTCCATAAGATGGCTGCTGATATCTTAGTAAGTAAATGCACTATATTGATTGGCTGAAAAACAACTCCATAAATTGAATGGCAAGCCTTCCAATAAAAGATCAACTAATATAGAATTTGAAATATTCTTGAAGCCATAGCTGCAAATATTACATGGGAGGAAAGCAAAAACCTTACTTTTTTTTTAGTCATAACTGTTTTTATGAGTTAATACTAATTTTTATATGCTTATGACTTAGTGGTATGAGCTATTGTGCAAACTTTCCATCTCCTATTTAATTCCCCTGACAATAATGACAGTTTAATACACCAGAGCTTGTCTGTGGCTTGTTAAAAGACTAAGAAAATGGAGTTCTTATTTTGAATTACATGCTAAATAAACAGATCCAGACATTTCTGTTGCGAGGACCAAGAATAATTCAGCAACATGAGGCAGCTGAGTTGTGATAAGCCAGAATACTCAAGGCCACAGCCTTTTTGCACTGTTAGAACCATTTTATTTATTTGATATAGCTACAGAATTATTGAAGTGGATATGCCATTTAGGCCACAGAGTCCAAGTTTTTATTCTGTGGAGAAATCCAAGTAAAGCTTTCTTGATTGATATCAAGGATGTTCAGCTTTTATCCTGACACAGAAAGATCTCACCACCTTCCTTGGTCATTGGCTCTGCCATTAAACTGCTCTTATTGGTTGGAGGATTTTCCTAAATCCCTTCCTTCCCAGAGGCTCCTTCCTATCACTAAGGCCCATTATTCTGTCTCCTGCATTCCAGGATGACAGAGACTTTTTTGTGTGATACCCCTTCAAGTTCCTGGAAAAAGTGATCATATCCCTCCTTAGTTTTCTAATTGTCTAAACATACCTGGAGGGAGTTTGCTCAAGCTCTCCTCATCAGAAAATAAATGTACCCAGTCCCTACTCATCCTCTATCTCTTTCATCATCTACTTCAGTTTTCTCTGAATTTTCTTAAGATCTGGAGCCCAGAACTAAACCCAGTTGTTGAGCTGGAGTCTGCCTACTGCAGAATAGAATGGAACTATAGTAGTAGCTACCCAGTTAGGTGACAACACTGAGTATCCTTGACTTAGCTCAAAATACAAAAACAAACCCTAAGTAGGATCAAACCTGGTTAGTATCTCAGAGGGAAAGTACCAGGAAATACCAGGGCTTTAAGTTAGACTGGGAAGTTCAAAAATAGAAGAAGGCAATAAGCCATATTTGTAATGTCACCGAGAATATTACATGGACATAAAATCACCAAGAACTAGTTTGACTTGAAGATTTTTAAATATTTTTGTTATATTTCATATTTTTATATTTGTTATCTTTTAATTGGACAGATTATGTTCAACTGGACAGATTATGAGCCAACTCTGGACAGAATCCTTCCTTATGGTTATGGAGAGGATATTTGGCTATATTTTGGTATTGCCAGTCCAAAAAGTGCTCAGCAGAAGAACAAGTGCTACCATGCTCAAGTTCTCCTGCAGAAAAACCTCTGAAACCTGAGCACAGCGGTAGAATGCTCCTTCCACCTGTATCAATATCTTGGTGTCTATGCTGAGATCAACAGGCAAACAAAAGGCGGGGGGTGCTTCCTTGGAGAGTGCTGTCTATGCCTTAAATGGGATAGCATTTAAGGCATAGACTTAAATCTGGACAGGATAGCAGCAAGCACACTGGCAAAAGAATAAAGATACTTGATCATGCGGTATGCTCAAATAGCTATGTATTAAACAGAAACAGGAAAATGAACAGCCAGTTTGGTAAACCAGATAGGGGTGAGACTTTTTAATGAGTTCTACCTACAGACATTAAATCTGATATAAGAAAATTGTCTCATGGGTGCAGTTCAACCATGGACAAACTTTCATTGCCAAGGTTATAAATATGCTTAAATTGCTTGCATGGGACTTGAAGGCACTGAACTTTGGTCAAACCACAAACTATGTGAAACAGGTATAGTTTCACCAAGCCTAACATAAAACACTTCACTACTACATTATTGTTGTTATTATTTCAGCAGTCCATTGGAGCTGGGCGGCTAATAAATTCAAACAAACAAACAAACAAATATTATCTGTTAGATTTTATCTGAGAGCTCAGTGCTGCTTTTATGGAGGTTCTCTTTCATTTTAATACAACCACCACCCTGGGAGGTAAGTGGGGCTTGGGAGAAGGTGACTGTCCCAAAGTCAACCAATGAGCTTCCATGCCATGTCCAGCAGCTCCACCATGATCCCACACTGGTAGAATGAACAGCAATGAACTGGAGTGTACATTTGCCAGTAATCAATCAAAGTCATGGCTAAAAGCCACTAACTTAAAAAAAAAAAAAGAGAGAGAGACTGAATTTAGGCGTCCTTACCTCAGGATGTCCTCCAACTTCAATGTATGTGCACGTAGGATGAAAAGCTCCAGTTCCACAAACATACAAATGAGTCTGGTTATAAGCTTTAAGCACCTTGATGAAGTTAGCACATTCTTTCTGCAAAGAAAAACAGCAACAACAACAACAATGTAGCAGTACCATAAGGAACATTTACAACAATGATCACACAAGACATTCTGAAAGGGAATCTGCTGTTGACTAATAAGTAAGTCTTACATCTTACAAAGGCCATGAGAACAAGGGATCTTTAGACTTCATCAGTCCTTGTCACATTAAGATCTCTTGGCTTAAGAAAAAATGCAGCCCATTGCCTAAGGGACTGCTTTCCTTAGATATTCCCCTTGTATCTGTGTAGGCTTTCCTCTGGGTGCCTCTGCCAAATGAGTGGAAGGGGGTTCCCAATTATGGGGTCCAATTTATGGAATGAGCTCCTCACAAAGCCATTGTTTTGGTGGCCAAATGTTGCTTCTTTCAGGTATTTTAATAACTTTCATAGTTCCATATTCAATCTGATTCCCCTTCTTGATGCAGGAATAATAGATGTCATGTTCCCTGTGTGATGTACTGATTACATGTTATTGATTTATTATTTTTAATCTCATTTTAAATGTCTTTAGAAAAATTCAGTTAATCACTTTGTGATCTGCACAGAGGAACTGGTTATTGGAATTGTATTTATAACTGCTGTGATGAATATCGGAAGCCACTTCTTTGTATTTTTTAAATTTCTTTTCTATTTTTCTTTAACTTTTTTTCCTTTCTTGCATTTTTGCTTTCTCTTTGACTTCTTTGTTTCTCTTTTTTATTCCTTACTTTATATTAGTTTGTATTAGTTTTTATCTTCTTATTTAAAAGCCTCAATATATTATAATTAATATAATATAATATAATATAATATAATACATAGGAATTGGTTATTGGACAGATTAAAAATATAATTAAGAACAGTAAAAAGGTGTAGATTTCTTTTAAAAACAAGCCATAACCAAAGCATGAAAGCAGGTGTGTGCCCTGCAATGGATCATTTTGTCCCGTAATGTTAATGGGATCTTCTGCAGAGAAGGCTTATAGGAGGTAAAACAGTATTTGCCCAGACAACATCCATATATATGCAGTTAACACATGAACAAGTTCTGTATAAAAGTTCCAACAGATGTTTGCAGTTAGCAGCCATTCCACTGAACCCAATCTCACTCTTTTGCATGGAGTTTGATCTGCATAGGGTCCAGTACAATCAGTAAGCCAAGATCGTTGGTTATTTTGATTTATTAATACCTGGAGCCTATGGATACCAGGCTTTTCTCTAATTGTCTCAGTTTACATCTCTCTGCATCCAGAGAGAAAAGAGACACTGTTAAACCAGACTAACCAAAACTGTCCATATGTAAGGTGGTTGATGTTAACAACTGATAGGTAAAGGTTAGCATCCCTCAAATCAAGCCTGACTTCTGATGCCTATGTGGATATATCCATGGTGTTTTCTTGGCAGAAATATGGAATCTCTTTGCCAGTGATTTCTTCCAGAGTGTTTTTTAGAGTCCCCAGTATCCTCCAGTCCTGGTAGATTTCCTGGGGGTCTGGCATAGAAACATATTGAGCCATCTTATCACTAGGTCAAAATGGATTCCATCCTCAACTAAGAGAGTTTTGGCCTAATACATTTGTAGTCACTATGCTGGGGAATGCAGCCCTGCTGCCTGGAAACTGCACATGAATTCAAAGTGCTACTAGACCTTATCTGACCTTACCTGACCTTGTAAAGCCAAGTTTTGGAAGATGGAAAAAAGAAAATCCCAGAATAAGACACTGGCAAACCACCTTCATATTATTGTACTGCCGAGAAAACTGCCAGGAGCTGCCTACAAGACTCTAGGAGTCCAGCTCAACTTAAAAGAGGCTTCACAAATATTTAGAGCATTTGCTTTTCAAAAGGCCATTAATGGTGTTTCGTTCGTTATCTGTATTCTGCTCTCATTTCTAAAGAGGAAATCCACAATAATTCCACCAAGGTGAACAGAATCCTGCTAGTGAGAAGTTGATTTGTTGATTGCTAGTTTGCCTTCACAAATCTTAGATAGTGATTCACAGGCTCCCTACATTTCCATAGCTACAACGAGGTCAAAGAGGCTATAAACAATGTTAGATCGTATGAGAATTGCCTCCCTGGCTAAATACTCCCATCAGTGTTCTTAAATTGCTGTCAACAGCCTGGTCTAGGTTAATGCCAAAATAACTGACAGCAAAAAATCCATCCCCTCCCAAAATATGTCACCCATTTACAATGCACCATATTTTAGCTATGGATTATAGAAATAAAGGAGCTAATGAAGCACTAGGAGGGGCTGGTAAGAGGATCAAACCTTCAGCTGTTAAATGTATTTATTTACCATTGAAAGTTTTCGTTCAAACTCTCAAGAATGAAATGGCTTTCCTGTGTTCCCCAGCGTTTTGTTTTATTTTGTTTTGTTTTAAAGCTTTCAGTTCTATTGGAGCCAAATAACAACCCGAGCAGCAGATAGTAGATTAGGGTCCTTTATACCTGTATAGAGCTGAAGGATGGTATTCAGCTATTAAGTGATGAAAAAGTTATGGCAAATGCTTCACCTCCACCATGGTAATCTGTTCAAAGGGGCATTTTCTCCATTTTCTGCCAAGACAATACTACAGTACAATTCTATAAAAGTTCATTCATTCCAATGACCCCATGGAATTGATCAGTGCTAATTCTTGTGGCAATCAGCAGATCCTTTGCGTGGTCTTGGAAGCCCATCTAAGTGTGCACAGGATTTTTGCACAGCTTGTACATTGTCACTTACGAGCATATTTGTACTGAGTACAAGTATGCTTATAAATGACAATGTGCAAGCATCTTAACAATGTTTCACTTTCAACCAGCTATGTGATTTAGTGTTTTATAGTTATTAAGCTTTTTTATTTATAAGGGTTTAAATTGCTTCAACTGACTTGAGGTATAAGAAGAATACCAGCCTTTTATAACCTGGTTACTTTCTAGTTGGGTAGACCAACTCCCAGAATTCCTCAGCCAGTGTGGTCAGTGCTGAGAACTCTGGGATTCTAGATGTGAAATCTAGTCCATGTATCTAGAGGACTTTCAGGTTTGGAAAATGCAAATTTGCATTGCAAGTATTCATCTTCTACATATATGAACTATCAGAATGTTACATACAATCCACCCTTCCTTAAGCTCTCAGAGAGCAAGAGAGAGAGAGGTACATGTTACATTATTGTCACATTCCCATGTATGAGGTTTTAACAGGACTTCCACCCCGCTGGGGTAGGGGAACAAATTCACTATTTTTAGAGAGTATGTAGCCTGTCATATTGATCACCAGGAGCAGTATGGGATTGCTTTCATCCTTATCATCAGATCATCAGGTATACGTAGCCAGAGCCTATTCTGTGGAGTTCAAACCTTCCACCAGGAATTGAATTAATGGAAAGTTTACACTTTAGATTACTATATATACTGCACTAGTTTTAGGATTTATCTAAAAGTACTGTGGTATAAATTGCCATGAACTTAATCTAGTTCACTGAAAGATATTTCCATGGTTCCTGTTTGTGAAAAATGTAAAGCTGCTGTTTGTAAACTGTGACAGGGCTGTGCGCCACTTTTGTCTTTTATGGGTGCAAAACCTCCTATGCCTACAGAATCACAATGCAAGAGATGTCCCACTCCCTGAATGCCTGTAAGATAAGCATTTTTTATTGGGAGAGAGTGTGTGTGCATACACGCATGTGTATGTATATACAGTGGTACCTCGGTTCACAAACTTAATTCGTTCCGCGACTCTGGTCGCGAACCAAATTGGTTGTGAACCGAATCAAATTTTCCCATAAGGTTCAATGTAAATACGGTTAATCCGTTTTGAACCATATGTTTTTTTTTTTTTAAACCGCAAAAATATGAAACAAAATACAGCATGAAGAGAGAGAATGCTAACCTTACTTGACGCGACTTCTGGCATGGAGGACAGGAAGGCGGGTGGGGAGGCGGATATTGCTTGGACGGAGAGTCCCCCTCCCTACAGGAAGCCACAACCACGTGTCATGGGAGGGAAAATGGCCGCGGATCCTGTTCGTAACCCGATGCGGAGTTTGTGAACGGAGGCAAAATTTTGCGGCCAAAGCTGTTCATGAACCGAATTGTTCGTGAACAGAAGCGTTCGTGAACCGAGGTACCACTGTATATGTGTGTGTGTGTGTATAATAAACAGTGAATGCACACATGTGCAATTCATCTACAGAATTCATAAAATCGCTTAATCGATTTGCATGTATTCAATTCAATTCAATTCAATTCAATTCAATTCAATTCAATTCAATTCAATTCAATTCAATGAAACACCTTGATTCAGGAGTTCATTTACAGGATTCAACTTGGAAAGAAGATTCAGTTAAATCACCTTTAAACTGAATTGCTAAATCATATTTTTGTACAGCCATACTATCTATCTAATGATGGTTGAAATCCAATAGCCATATTTATTTGGAAGCAGAGATAAAAGTACATGGGTACAATGGCCCTTTAAATGCAGATTGATGTAAAACCTAATTAAATTTGCATTTGTTACATGACTGCCAAGTGGTATAGGAAAGCCTCCCAGTGGGCAGACATTTCATTAAGACATTGCCAAGACTGAGTGACTCTGCCAATTTATTAGCATTCTTCCTTTTCCTCCATCAAACATTGGCATGATGATATTTAGACATGTCTTAGCTGTGAAATTTGGCATTCAGAATTATTCTCAATACTGGGGACAAGGTATGTCAACTTCAGTGCAAAGCATCTACTCATGTTTTTTGGCTGTGAGCCTGGAATGGCTTAGCCTATCTCAAACTGGGTTTTTCCAACTTGGCGACAGCTCCCTGTTTCTGCCTCACCCTCAAGGTAACAGGATATTTGTTCTTAATGGGAAAGCCAGTGCCAGCAATACAGAATGGTTAAAATATGTGTGTGAAATTCTGGCAAGAATAGCAAAAATTACACTTGTATATGTGCACATATGCAGACACAAACATCCACCCCCATATATACAACTTAAAAATAGAATTTTGAAATTCAGGGA